AACAGTCAATGAGTTTCCTTAGATAGAAAACTGAATCAATTTTACTGGATGATCTGGTTGAAATGTAAAGTCCCTTTAGATGACGTTTGTGAATTGGTGCTATAGAAATAAACTTTAGGAATTGAATGGGAACTGACCTGGATGTTAGGGCTGTTTAAACTGAACTACACCAAAGGATGATTAAATAGGCAGAGAGTAGTAAGTTTTTAAGGACCTACCGGTATTATCAGGCATGGAAGCTTGATCGGTGTTCCTTTCCTTCTTGAAGATGATGTTACCAAACTGCAGCACTGAGGAAACCACCCTCAACATAGCTGCAAATATCAAAATCCACATAAAATATCAGTTCTGATCATTTTTTTTTTTCACATAACATTTCAGCCTTCAGGCTGATGTAAGGAAGCATCCCGCTAACCTATATAGAATAAGAGGTATTTAACTTTTTTTCTGAGGGGAAACATTATCCTCTATCAAAAATACTTTATTTCCAAGCATTCATTTATTTTTCTTTATTTTTGGAAACTTAAACCATCCACCCTAACATGCGTTTTGTCTCAAAGCGTTAAATTCTTCTCTTTCTTTCTTTGTTAGGGCCCCGTCACACCTTCCGATTTAGCCAGCGTATGCCTGAGGTCCCAAAATCTACTAAAACGCTGGCATATGCTGAACTTTCTATGTATTTTTTCCAATCATGGGCATATAATAAGTATTCAGAGTATTCATAACAAGTTCAGAATTTATGTCCAACGAGAGCCTAACTTATGCATAACGCACTGCAGCGTAATGGCCATGAAATTATGCATAAGCCAGTGTCCTGAAGGGGGCAGCAATGCACCCGTTCTGTACAAAAAAATGTCATTAACCTCGCTGCTGTTAACTTATCTAAGGTATAGCAGCGTTTTTGCCAGATTTCCCGTACGTCAGGCCTGCGCTGGTCCAAATCGTTAAGGTGTGACAGGAGCTTTAGTCTTTAGGTTCAGATTGTGATCAAACAGTTTTGGATAATTTAATAAGATCCCCATAAAAATAATCATCTACTCTTACCTCTGAACAAGAAGCAGAAAATAAAAAAAGCAAATATGGATGAGAGTGAACTCTTTGAGAAATGCTTACCCAGGATCTCTTCGTGTGCGAAGCTCATGATGTGCATCGCTTCCATGGTTTCATGGAAGTTGTCTTTGTCCTGCTGGCCTGGAATCGGGATGTTCCCGTTCGACAGGAACCTGTAGCTGTTGAATCCTTCCAAAAGTAGATCAGCTGTGGACAGAAGAATGGACATTAAATGTCCAATATCCAAAACTGAT